TTGAGTTGGCACGGGGCGGACAGATACAGTTGCGTATCGTCCGCATATTGGTGGTATTTTATCCCGTGCCTCCGAATGATCTCGCCCAGTTGAAGAAATGGCATTGAAGTAATATAAATACAGCACTGAAGTACTACAGCATAACATACAGTATCAGTTGCAGCTACAGAACAGAATAAATCAAAACTTGCACAAAATAAGTCTTTGGGTCACTTTTGGCTTTGAGTAATTATGTGAGGGACATGGTGGCTCAGTGGCTAAGATGCTGAGTTGGTCAATCAGAAAAGTCAGCTGTTCAGCGGTTCAAATCCCTAGCACCGTGTAGCGGAATGAGCTCCCGTGACTTCCCCAGCTTCTGCCAACTTAGCAGTTCGAAAGCATGTAAAAATGCAAGTAGAAAAATAGGAACCACCTTTGGTGGGAAGGTAACAGCGTTTCTTTGGCATTTACGCATGGCAGCCACATGACTATGGAGACGTCTTTGGACAGTGCTGGCTCTTTGGCTTTGAAACGGAGATTAGCACCGCCCCCTAGAGTCAGGAACGTATGTGTGAGGGGAACCTTTACCTCTACCTCAGTTATGTTCATATATGTCCATGGAACGATATTAAATAAAATAAACGTTTGTTTATATATAATTAAGACAAAAAGTGTATTGGAAAGGGAAGACAAAAAGTGTATTGGAAAGGGAAATAATTCCAGAATTATTTGGTCAGGTTTTTTTTTTAAATTTTAGTTAATCTTTATTCCATGAAATGTATAAACAAGTGATAGCCATTGGCTACTATAATCTAAACTTGGAGGAAGAACATCTTTGTGCTTGTTAAATATTTAGATGTGAGATCTCAGTCAATCCTAGGGTGTAAAGGCAAAACGTGGAAACAGCTTGGGGTGGTTTTTGACATTAATATGCAATGTTCAAATGCATTAAACAATCAAGAGTCACTGGCCATTAATCTTCCTGTGCTGTATTAGAAGTGAGCTTTCTGCAGATACTTAATACCCTTTGCCCACTCTTTGGCCAGTGGGCAATTGCTTTGTTGTTATCTTGTCATTTGATGTGATACATGCACTCTTTTTGGACTGCTGAAGGTACGTCACTTGTACGACACAGGAGATCTGAAGGATATTCATCTGGAGATAGAAAATTTGGTGAATTCCAGGACACCAAAGTTATCGCGGAATGGTAAGTCATTCCATGTATTCTTTGTTAGTGTCTTTTTTTCCCCTTCCCTTCCTGGAAATTTGAAATTGGATTCCAATGCCAGCTGCCATTTTCAAATAGTGCATTAAGAGAATATTGGCTGCATATTTACTTAAGCTGTGCTGTAGCCATTAGTGATCTCTTTGACCCTCAGGCTCTTATAAATACACTTAGCATTCACTTACGTACACTTAGATTCTTATGGGCAGGAATGAGAATAAAAATATTTTCCTTAGAGCTCTGTGTGCATTAAAAACAGAGAGACAGGGTTTTGTTGTGCTGTCAAAACCAGGATATTAGTATTTTCTGACTGATGTAAATCTGAGTTTATGAACAATCTTTCCCAATGTGATGCCTTCTTGAAGAATTGTTGTGTTATACTTCAAAGCTATTGTCCAACATGCCCTTTAGGCCTATATGTCATTTAGTTATGCAATATTGGCATGAAATTAGAATAGAATAACAGTTGGAAGGGACCTTGGAGATCTTCTAGTCCAAACCATCTGCTTAGGCAGGAAACCCAACACCACTTCAGGCAAATGGATATCCAACATCTTCTTAAAAACGTCCAGTGTTGGAGCATTCACAACCTCTGGAGGCAAGTTGTTCCATTGATTAATTGTTGTAACTGTCAGGAAGTTTCTCCTTAGTTCTAAGTTGTTTCTCTCCTTGATTAGTTTCTACCATTGCTTCTAGTCCTGCCATCAGGTGCTTTGGATAATGGTTTGACTCCCTCTTCTTTCTGGCAGCCCCTGAGATATGGGAACACTGCTGTTCTTTAATCTCTAGTTCAGTATAAATGAAGAGCACCAGTCAGAAAAAAATTGATTTATAATGGGGGTGGGCAGCCCATGGCTCTAGGGCATCATGTTGACTTTGAGTTCCATTTTCAATGCCCAAGCTACCCCTCCAAAGCATGATTGTTAAAGACTGATGTTACAGTTCTTGGGCCATTTTGAGATGGGAAAGGGAAATAGTTAAAAAAGAATAAAGAAAGACGATTGCCAAAAACTACAGAGCTGGGTTGCTACCGGTTTGCACCGGTTCAGGTGAACTGGTAGTGGTAATTTGGCCTGGATCGCAGTACTGGCAGCGACCCAGGCTGGCCACTCCCCCAAACCGGTTTCCTGGTCTCTGCTGCCTTTGCCAGCATGTTTTTTATTAGTGTTTAATGGTTTAATGGTCTTTGCGCAATTTCCAGTGTACTGCGCATGCGCAAGCAAAGTGCGGCTGGCATACGAAGCGAACAGGTACCAACACCGTAGGAACTCACCCATGCTTTCTATTTTCTATTTCTTAGTTCTCTGTCCAAATATTACAAATGGCCTTTGTCCACCAGAATGATTGAGAATACTACTTTCATAATCACATCGAACACTAAAATCCTGTATCTCAATGTTTATTTCAGAGTCTGTGGCCCGTTCTAGCAAACTTCTGGGCTGGTGTCAGAGGCAGACAGACGGCTATGCTGGTGTGAACATAACAGATCTTACAACGTCATGGAAGAGTGGCCTTGCACTGTGTGCTATTATTCATCGATTTCGTCCAGACTTGATGTAAGCAATAGCATTTGCTTGTGAATGGCTATTTGAAGAAATTCAGTCAGGCAATTGAGGGGGTATTTATATTTTCCTAAACTAAAGGCTGAAAATCAGGCTTGTCATCTTTTCTATCCTGCTCTATGGAGTAGACAGTTGGTCTCTGCCAGAAAACCACTTGAAGAAACTAGAAGCATTTGCAATATGGATTTACAGACAGCTGTTACATGTAAGATGGGCTGACAAAATCACGAATGAGGAGGTGATAAGCCGCCTGGGAAAGCCAAGGGAAATCACCAAAGCCATTAAAAAGCAAAAGTTAGAATATTTTGGACATTCGATGCGACACTCAGAAAAATACAGCATCCTTCACTTAATCCTCCTGGGAAAAATTGAAAGACAAATGGGGTCCAGGCAGAAGAAGAACATCATGGCTTCAAAACCTAAGGGACTGGTTTGGGCAAACTCCGCAGCACTTCTTCGTGCGGCTGTTGACAAAAATAGGATTTCCGACATGATCGCCAACATCCGATGACGGATATGGCACAAGAAGAAGAAGCTATAGTAGATTGAGCTTTTGTTCTAATTTAGAAAATGTATTTTTCTCTTCCAGAGATTTTGATTCTGTAGATGAATACAACATCGAGAAGAATAATCAGCTAGCATTTGACATTGCTGAGAAAGAGCTTGGAATTTCTCCCATCATGACTGGCAGAGATATGGCATCAGTTAGTGAACCAGACAAGTTGTCTATGGTCATGTATCTCACCCAATTTTATGAGATGTTCAAGGACTCTCTTCCTTCCAATGGTACGATACATCTTATGTCTCTACTACAATCTTTGAAAGTTGCAATATAGAATTGACTGCTCTTGTTCTAGTCTAGAACAATTCATTTACTTTGATGCTGAAAGAGAATGTTTTCTGTGTCTATATGAATGCAATATAGTAAACTGTAATCCCAATTGTTCTTATGGGGACATTATTTTGTGAAGCCTTCTGGATTGAATTATTTCTGAAGTGATGAGATAGAAGATTGACCTGTCTGCTACTATCATAGTGTCTTTCCATCAAGACTAGCTCTTCACCTTTGTGATATTTTTACATTGCTGATGAATTATGAAAAAATGTTCAAACTGGTTCTATTACTATTTAATATTAAAGGTAAAAATGTGACCTTAAAAAAAGTAGGAACTTCTAGAGGAAGAAAGTTGAAGACTTTATGTTAGAGCAAGTCTGTGAATAACAGGTTGTAGTGATAAATATGTACCTTATATGATCTAACCAAATGGTTAGAAGCAATAATATCTGAAAATGTAGTTGTGTTGCCAAAGCTAAAGTAGTTTTGCAGTAAGAATATGAAAATAAATTGATCCCAGAAAAATAAGACCTTGTATTTTGTCTTTGGAGATAAAATATACATAAATATATTAGAAAAATAATATCTTCCTTGTTAAGCATCTCTACTTGAGGGTGGCAAACATTGTCTTGTTATGGATCTTAAATGATTGCAATGAAAATCAATTCCTAGAATGGAAAAAAGATTAAATGGAGGATTAACTTTTATAGTTTACAAACTGAATGTAGACAGCGGAAATAGATATACTTGTGTTGCAAAGAGCCAACATCAAAGTGTGAACTTTGGGAGATTTTTTTATTTTGTTATGCCTCCATTAATTTTTTATTTCTTTTTATAGATAATCTGGAACTGAATGCAGAAGAAAAAGCTGCTTTAATCACTAACACTAAATCACCAATTTCCTTCCTAAGCAAGTTGGGACAGACTATTTCACGGAAACGGACCCCAAAGGTAATAACAATGTTTTTTAAATAAAGGTAAACATCAGTAAGATTGTGATTTAATAGCCCACTTGAAGGAATATCAGTTAAATCCAAATTTATATCATTTGCATTGTGTAATTATGCAAGTGAACAAATTGGTCATAATTTTCTCAATGTTGGTGGCAACTTAGAAATGGGACTCATATTTCAGAAATAATATATTTTGCTCAAAGTTTGAAGTTGAAGTCTAAACTAAAATGTCCAGTGCATAACTGAATGGAAGCTAGCAAATTAAGTTGTACTGAAGTTGTTGTTCTTCTTCATCATCATCATAATTAATTAATTAATTAGCCTATAAACCATATCAACCCTAGGGCTGTGTTTTGATACAAATCACACATACGAGGGTGTGTGATTTTTGAGTGTCATGATGGGTAGTTTGGAAGAGAAGCTTGGAGTGACTGGTGCTGACCTATCTCCTAGAAGGATGACTATGATGGCTTATTTAAGAGTCTGCACATCTGTAAAAATTCATTTTATCTATTTCACTCTGGAAGGTTGTCATTATTTACTTGGTTACTTTGCTAACGTAGAGCAACTGAAATGAGTGTAAAAGATATGCTTCATATAGTGCTTTATCAGTAATATGTGAAACGGAAGAAAAATTAGCCTTGCAAATGTGTATTAAAAGTTTGTAGAGGAAAGAATCAGTGCCTGGTAACCCTTGTTTGAACTAAAGTACAAGTTTGGTCTGTAAAGAGAGCAGAGAAGAGCAACAAAGATGATTAGGGGACTGGAGGCTAAAACATACGAGAAAGGTTGCAGGAACTAGGTATGTCTAGTTTAATGAAAAGAAGAACCAGGGGAGACATGATAGCAGTGTTTCAATATCTCAAGAGGTTGCCACAAAGAAGAGGGAGTCAAGCTATTCTCCAAAGCACCTGAGGGTAGAACAAGAAGCAATGGGTGGAAACTAATCAAGGAGAGAAGCAATTTCCTGACAGTTTAGAACAATGAATCAGTGGAACAATTTCCCTCCAGAAATTGTGAATTCTCCAACACTGGAGGTTTTTAAGAAGAGACTGGATAGTCCCTTATCTGAAATGACATAGGGACTCCTTGAGCTTGACCAAGAGGGTTGGACTAGATGACCTCCAAGGTCCCTTCCAGCTCTATTCTGATTCAAACTTCACGGTGGACCAAAAATCACCCTAAGACAGGCGAAGAGCCAACCTAAATCCGAGAGAGATCCGTGGCTGAGGACGGAAAAGGCCGCCCGAGTCCAGGGCTTCTTCTACTGCGCCCAGATACACTGCCCCTGTCCCTGGAGGCTCGCTCTCTACCTCGTCCCGGCACTGCTTCTGGCACATCTGGCAATACCAGCGCAGCTTCTGCAGCCCCTTCGACTTGATGCGGTTGGCGATGGCCTTGGGGCTCAAGAAGTCCGTCTTCCCCATGGCGAAGGACGCGGAGGAGCGGCGGCACACCGAACCCGGCGACGGAGACCCTCGCTTCCGGACTCTTGGAGGCGGCGGAAGTGATGACCGGAAACGGAAGTGACATTGCAGGAAATCGTCACGGTTGACTTTAAGGAGGGCTTTCGCGCCGCTCTCGTTCTCCCAGTGAATGAACAGGGAATCACGGAAATTATACTTCTGTGCTGTAGTAGAGTCTTTCCCGGCCGCTAAAATCTTAATTAAAATTTTAAAGTATCTATGTTTACTATATCTATGCATCAACCAAGTTAGGGGTCGCTTAAAGCAGTGTTTCCCAACCTTGGCCCCTTGAAGAGGTCTGGACTTCAACTCCCAGAATTCCCCAGCCAGNAGAACAATTAATCAGTGGAACAACTGGCCTCCAGAAATTATGAATGCTCCAACACTGGAAGTCTTTAAGAAGATGTTGGATAGCCATTTGTCTGAAATGATATAGGGTTTCCTGGCTGGGCAGGGTGTTGGACTAGAAGACCTCCAAGGTCCCTTCCAACTCTGCTATGGTATTGTATTATTGAATGGAAACATTCTGTTCTCTGAACTACAGACAGATCTATAATAGATACTTGTAGATGTGTATAATATTATTATGCATATAATAATCTGTAAGAGTAACAAAAGACAGTTAATCTGGTGCCATAGGCATGGATATTTTTCAGAGACAATGCAGTTCCCAAGATATGTATGGCATTAACTCTGAAAGGTTGTTGTCTGGATGACTGCAAGTAGTCTTCAACTTACCACCCCAATTGAGCCCAACATTTCTGTTGTTAAGTAAGACATTTGTTAAGTCAGTCTTGCCCTATTTTACAACCTTTCTTGCCATAGTTGTTAAGCGAATCACTGCAGTTGATAAGTTAATAACTGGTTGTTAAGTGAATCTGGCTTCCCAATAGACTTTCCTTGTCAGAAGGTCGCAAAAGAAGATCATGTGACCCTAGGACACTGCAACAGTCATAAATATGAACCAGTTACCAAGATTCTGAATATTGATCACATGATCAGCGGGATTCTGCAAAGGCCGTAACTGTGAAAAACTGTCATAAGTCACTTTTTTCAGTGCCATTGTCACATTGAACAGTCACTAAATGAACAGTTGTAAGTCTAGGACTACATGTACTTCAAAGTTACAATGGACTCCCCCCCCCCCCAAACACAAACACTGTCTCCCTCTCCCCTAGGGGTGGGTTCCAGCAGTCACCAGTGCCAGTTCGCTGGTGCGCACCCACATGTGCAGTGTGATAAAAATGCTTCTACAGATGCGGTTGAGGTTGTAGTTCATCATTGAAGAGGCTGTACTAAAACATTACAGATACACCGGCTCACTTCAGAAAAAGGTCCTCCGGTTGTTCTCAGATGGGAAAAACAGGAATAATCACATTATCAATATATATATATAGTATGATATAGAAACAATGGGGACTCAGAATTCTCTCTCTTCTGCTTAGGATAAAAAGGAGAAAGATCTGGATGGCTCAGGAAAAAGGAGGAAAACCAGCCAGTCAGAAGACGTAAGTGATACGGTTTTCATTTTTTAAATTCCTGTTCATTTAAGAATCTTAGGTAATTTGAATTAGAGGAGTCATTCGGGGATCATATATTTGCACAGTTACATGGAACTGAAACTCAGCAAAGCATTTTTAAATCAGTAATTTCTGCGTACCGTATTTTCACGACCAAAAGCCGCACCGGATTAAAAGCCGCAGTATCAATTAACGTTAATTTTT